ACATTTTTAAGCTGACATTTTTTGGGTAAATTCACACTGTGTGAAAGTGACATCCTCTTGAATTTATAAAATAAAATACTACAAAATAACCCAAAAAAAAAAAAAACTGTAAGCAACCTTTTTCATCTATGATGATGGGAGGTGAAAGAAAAAGAATTTCATCTATACACCAAAGGTGACATTCATTGTTCCAGATTAAAGTAGTCCTTTTCATTTCTAGCTTATATATTGATGATAAAGATGCTACGTTTATAAAAATTGATAGAATTATATAAACTATAAGAAAATTAGTAACACAAATAAAAATTGAAATGCAAAATACTCAATAACTATGTCATATAAATTATCCACACTTTTAAACTTAATAAAAACATTTCGTTACATTTTTGCACATAACACGTAAGAATTTGCAATTAATTTTGCTTTAAAAAATCAAATTCTTTAAATCTTGCAAATAAGTTAAGAATCAAATTACCTCTCAATACAATTAAATCATATACCTTCTAGCTACCAGGACTATGTGGTCTAATGGTACCCGGGTTGGACTTCCATTTGGAAGATTATGAGTTCAAGCCTCAGTGGAGGCGTTATTGGTTCTTTGTGTTTCAGTAGGTTGAGAAAGTATTGGTTCTTTGTGTTTCAGTAGGTTGAGAAAGTATATGAACAGATACTACAATGTAATAGAGCCAGTAACTTTCAAAAAAAAAAAAATACCTTCTAGCTCATTTTCTGCCGAGACAAGGCTAACCATTGCTTCATTAGTACGATTAATTTTTCTCTTACACACTACATAAATCTCTAGTTTTGATGAAAACAATTATTAATTCATCAAATACATAAATAAAAACAAAGATATTTCTAATCCAGACCAAAATATGTAACTGTCACATTTATCACATCATTTCCCAATCAATTTTCAATTAGAGACACGTGTGAGTGTCTTAGCACACTTTGGAAGTTGTAAAATAAAATATAAAAGAAGAAAAGAAGAAAAAAATTGGGTAATTAAAGGCAAGATGAGAGGAGTAAAATAGCCAAAAAGACAGATTGAGATGCAACTGTCTATGCCAAGTTGCCAACTGTATTACTTATCGAACATTAATTTTATCTTTTTCATTGTTATTTATTTAATTTAAGAAAGAAATTATTATTGCCAAATATGACGAATTATAATCAAACTTCTTTTAATATAATAAGTAATTTGCTAATAAATATCAACCTATTTGAAATTCCAATTTAATCCAGTCACTAAACAAAACCTTCTCATTTATATATGTGGGGAATTATTTCATTTTTTAGTCACTCAATTTTAGTAGCAATTTTACTTTTAATCGTCAACTTTATTTGCTTCTATTTCGGTTCTCAACTTTAAAAAAATTTCTCTTTTATTCATAAAGTCCAGTGAGGTGTCGACGCGTCGAGAAGTTCGAGTAGCTGATGCGAAGTTTGTCGTCGAAGGTTCGACGCGTCGAGACTTTCCAATACGTAGACTGAAGAAGGACGTCTGAGACTTGACGCATCGAATGACCGTGGCTGTTGTTTGGAAAGCATTGCGAAAATTTCCTAACTTATTCATTTTGAGCTCCTACTATAAAAGGCCCATCTTCCCTCATCCCTATGGTTTTATCAAGCTACGTTTTAGAGACGAGAAAAGATGAGATCAAGAGCTGCAAGTTGTCTTGGGAAGACAGAAGAAAAGCTATGAAGATTTGGGAGAATCTCTTGGTCTACTCTTTTACTCTCTTTGTTGCTTGTAAACTCTTTATTTTATTGCAATGAATTCTAGTTTAGCCATGTGTGGCTAAGTTATCTTAGAGATTCTTTGGTAAAGTGTTTATGAACCTATGTGCCCATTTCTCAGATTCTTTAATATATTGATATTTGAGTTTTATAACTTGTGTTGTAATTGTGTTCTGTATTGTTGATGCTAGCTAGTAGTTAATGGTTATAATTACTCGTTTCATAGCTAAACTATCTTTATGTCTTAACGGGAGTAAGGGTATAATTAAGAACACCCACAATTGTACTTAACTGTTGCACCTTGGGAGATGACATATTTGTTAGGGAGTTAATTCTTGATTATTGCACATCGGGAGATGGTATTAGTTAGGATTTTATATTGAATGCTTGTTCTTACATTGTTGGGTGTTTATACCACGGGAGTGAATATTTACTTTTATTGTTTTAGGTTGGAGATTACGGGAGTAACTCTTTCTCTTGTTTTCATTTTCACACTTGTTTAAATCCAGATTTAATATTGTTCTTTAAATGGGCACTAGACGATTAAACACTGTAATCACAGGAATCTCACTCTCTCTCTATTGTTTTCACAAACCTACTACTTTGCTCTTTAAATTAGTTTTACTATTAATTAATCATCCATGATTTTCGTTAGGATTAGCTTCACAAGAATAAATTAATAACTAGTGCTTGATAAGCTCCGCTTCCCTATGGATCGATAACCGGATACTACGGGTAATTATTTGTTTGAGAAATATACTGCAATCAATCGCCTTCTCCATCGATTGGAGAAGGTTACTAGTTGGTCACCATCTAAACAAATGATCTGAGTGTTTAATCCTAACAGCCCGAGGTCCAAAATCCAACAAGTTATTCTAAGATGCATTTCGAAATTAAATTAGTGCATTAATCAATAACCAAGAAGACAAGTTTTAAGAAGTGCAATAAATATTAAATCATTCATTACATTAATTAAGAAATTAAACTTAACTTTGAAAGCTAATAATAATTTGGCTTCTAACAAATTTAGAAACAGTTTAACCATACCATACTAAATTAAAAGATAGATAACTGTGATGATGGTAGGTGAAAAGCGAAAAGGCCAAGATATTTTCTTCATGACTTCATTTCCCATTTTCAAATTAAAAACAAAGAGTTCTTTGGGTGTCTAGTCATTTCTGGTCTATAGAAAAAGAATTGTCTTTAGCTAGCTAGTTTGGATGTGATGCTCTTAATTATTTCTAGATTTGAGACATCACTCCTCATTTCTAGTGACCTGTGACAGCATGTCACTTGGTTTCCAGCATGCTCTGACAATGTTTTAACTACTTCCGGAGGGAATTAGGGACACGCGATCTTGCCTTCTTTGCGACCACCCGCAGGTCACCAAGGAAGTCGTTGGAGAAAGCAACCAATTGGTCGCATTCTCCGTTGATTGGAGAAGGTGACCAGTTGTTCGCCATCTAAACAAATGAGTGTTTATTCCTGACACCCCTTGGTCCAAAATCCAACAAGCTAAGCTAAGATGTATTCCAAAAAATCTACTAAAAACATCATATTTAATCTTGGAAATAAATCCAATTTAAATTGTTAAAAAACTATATATACAGAAAAGGAAAATTTGCAATGATCGTTTGCAATGCATTCCGCAAAAGCAATGAAATTATATATATTCTATTGCTATTAAAATTTTAAGTTATTTCCAAATTAAATTAAATATATAGTATTGCTAAAAAAAAAAGGATAAGAGTCAAATATGTCTTCAAACTTCTATATAATTTTATTTTTTTTAAAGAATTCAAACTAAAATGAAAAACGTACGCGGGAAACACTTAAAATGTATACCTAAATTTATCCAAAAAAATATATATATACATTTGACATTTTTAAGCTGATGATGGGAGGTGAAAGAAAAAGAGTTTCATCTATACACCAAAGGTGACATTCAGTGTTCCAGATCAAAGTAGTCATTTTCATTTCTAGATTATATATTGATGATAAAGATGCTACGTTTAAAAAAATTGGTGTATTTATCTAAACTATAAGAAAATTAGTAACACAAACAAAAATTGAAATACAAAATACTCAATAACTAGGTCATATAAAGTATCCACACCTTTATACTCAATAACAACATTTCGTTACATTTTCACACATAACACGTAAGAATTTGCAATTAATTTTGCTTTAAAAAATCAAATTCTTTAAAATCTTGCAAATAGGTTAAGAATCAAATTACCTCTCAATATAATTAAATCAAATACCTTCTAGCTCATCTTCTGCTAAACCTAGACTTAAAATGAAGATTGAACAAGAAAAGGATAAAAAAGAGAGATTAAAATTTAACTGTCTAGGTCAACTGAGACAGGGCTAACCATTGCTTCATTGATACGATCAATTTTCCTCTTACACACTACATAAATCTTTAGTTTTGAAGAAAACAATTATTAATTCATCAAATACATAAATAAAAACAAAGATATTTCTAATCCAGACCAAAATATGTAACTGTCACATTTATCACATCATTTCCCAATCAATTTTCAATTAGAAACACGTGTGAGTGACTTAGCACACTTTGGAAATTGTAAAATAAAATATAAAAGAAGAAAAGAAGAAAAAATTTGGGTAATTTAAGGCAAGATGGGAGGTGAAAAATAGCCAAAAAGAGAGATTGAGATGCAGCTGTCTATGACAAGTTGCCAACTATATCACTTATCGAACATTAATTTTATCTTTTTCATTGTTATTTATTTAGTTTAAGAAAGAAATTATTATTGCCAAATATGACGAATTATAATGAAACTTCTTTTAATAATAAGTAATTTGCTAATAAATATCAACCTATTTGAAATTCCAATTTAATCCAGTCACTAAACAAAACCTTCTCATTTAAATATGTGGGGAATTATTTCATTTTTAGTCACTCAATTTTAGTAGCAATTTTACTTTTAATCGTCAACTTTATTTGCTTCTATTTCGGTTCTCAACTTTAAAAAATTTCTATTTTAGGCATTAATATCAAAAATCTCTTGTATATCTGTTACTAACTTTATTTTAAAATTGAGAATTTCGAATGGGCTTGGGCCGCCTCTACCGACCTTGGCTCCGCAACTATATATTTACACACATAAACTACGGATCCTAAAAGAAATATAGTGTTCATTTTATTGCCGTCGTCTATCACATCGTGTAAGAAGGAGAAAATGAAAAACCCAACTAAGGATCAAGAGGAAGATCGATTTTCTAGCAACAAAAAGATCAAACACACTCATACTTTTGAACTTCATGATTTTCATATCACTCAAACTATAGGGAATGACGACAAGGAAAAAAAGGTAATATATATGAATTATTCAACACATTCTTCTTTATTTATTTGTTAATTTTCATATAAAAACAACTGTCGTAAAGAATCTTTATCGAGTTTTCTTTTGATTTTGGAAGTTAAATGGTATATCTATCATGGTAGATAGTAGGGTTTAAGTTGGAGTATGTTGTGTTTGAATATGTGGATTTTTGTTTGTAGATTTTTGGTGGTCATCCTAGATTAGAGAAACTTTGTCAAGTTTTTACTTATTTTTTGTTGTGAAGTGGAAGATCTGGGATTTTAGAAATTAGGGTTAAAGTTTGAGGCTGGGGTGTTGACATATATATGTGGTTTTGTGTTGAAGATTTATTAATGGTCAGGTAGGACTAGAGAAGCATGGTAGAGTTTTCACACAATTTTTTATTTTATTTTTTATTTTTATTTTGGTAGCGTGATACATCTAGAATGTTAGAGGACACGGTAAAAATTTTAGGATATGTTATTGAAAGATGTGGGTTTTTGATTATAGATCTATTGGTTGTCATGGAGGATTAGGGATTAGGGTCAAAGTCGAAGAAAGTTGTGTCGAACAATGTTTGTTTTAGGTTACAAATCTAAGTAGTAGCTATGGAGGATGCAAAGGTTACTTGAACCATTGAAGGGATAGTAAATGGTAGTTGATTTGGGACTAGATTAGCGTGTTAGGGTGATGATGAGAAATGTATTTTTAAGAGAGGGTTGTAGAAAGATTGCGTTGGGTAACTTATATAGAAGCTGTTCGAAATGGTTTCTAACATTTTGGGCTACAATTGTTGTAGAAAAGTTTGAGTTGTGGCCTAGGGTTGGTTCTTTCGACATCGTATTTATATTGTTGTTTTTAATTCTTCGGGATACTTTTATTGTTGACTTGCATGATATATCATTTCTATTTGGTTATCTTTTGTTTGATATTTATTTGTAATGTTGTGTATCTATTCACTTTATGTCTTTATAAAATTTTATCATGTCAACAAAAAAAGAAAATAGAAAAAAGAAATATCCAAACAAGAAACTTATCTAATAGTAGTAACTTTTTCCTTGTTTTGGCATTTTGAAGTTGATTCCACCGATGTTTGTCAAGCACTTGGGAAAGTGGTTAGGTGAGATTGCAACTTTGAGGCGACCGTCAGGTCATCAATGGAGGGTTCACATACATACGGAGAGAGATGGCGCATATTTTAGCAACGGTTGGGAGACATTTTATAAGGACAATGATCTTGACATTGGTCAAGTTGTACTCTATAAATATGTTGGAGGCATGGACTTTGATGTCAAAATTTTTAACAAAGATGGACTGGAGAAGATGTGGGACTTTGATGTTATTCAAAATGTTAAGGAAGAAAGTGATCATGATGATCTTCCAACCACTCGAGGTACACATTTATGAATTTAAAAACTTCAAAATATTTTTTTTTTGTTTTTTTTGTTTTTGTTTTTGTTTTTGTTTTTGTTTTGTTTTTTTTTTGTTGGCATTTAAAATGAAAAGAAATTACAGGCCAAAAACCTATTTTATTTTTCACGTCCAAGAGAATATGATGAATTACTAAATTAATCAAATGAATCTACATCATAATTAAAAACATGAATACCTTTTATGTAAAATTTTGTGTGCATCTAATATAGTCTATTTTCTGCAATGGTCCATGTGCACTCTCCAAAACACAAAGACCTAAGCCTATCCGCACTTATGCAATCATCTCTCACGTTCAAAATGTCACATCACTAAATTTGTAATTATTCACTATTCACTCTTCATCCATGAGATTTTCTCTCCTCTTTCAAAATAACCCCAATATCACATCAAGTTATTAAAACTTTTTTTTTATCAATAAATTATTAATAATAATTAAAATAATAATAAAAAAATATCTCATGGCATTTATTTATTTATTTTTACAATTCCCTCACTGCCTCACCATCTTGCAATACCCAAAATTTCATGGGTGTGGATGGCCTAATGTAATACTTTTAAACAATATTACTTTCCTACAAATACTCTAAAAATAAAACTATTTTTGAACACTATGGGTATTACCTCATTTATGATTTTAAAACAAATTATTTTAGTACAAAAATAATAATAGGACTGTTTTATGATTTTACAAACCTTGTATATTATATCAACATTTGAAACCAAAAATCTATTTTAGACTAGCTTATGAGCCCGAACTCAAGCTCACACTATTTAATAACAACAAATCTAATTTTATTAAATCCAATAGCCCAATATCTAAGCCCAACCCACTCAATCTTGATCCTAGAATATTCCTTGCATCTCATCTGACCAAGGGTTTTGTGCCCCAATATAATGGCTACTGTAGTCGTTTCTTTTCCTCAATCCCCTCTCTGTTTCCTTTGCCTAAGATGAAGAAAACCAGAGCTTTTCTTAGTCTGAGTTGTTTTGTATGAAAGCTTCCTTCACTTCTTCTTAATTTCATCTTCAGTCCATATGCTTATCTTGTATTTAGACTTGTCTTTGTGTTGTATCTGTCTGGTGGATAAGGTTAAAGGCGGTGGAGTAGTAGGAGATCAGACTTGAAGCATAGGGGGGATTCTTGCTTTGAGGTGGTAGCATTAGAAATAAGGATGCATGCCTGTTCAATGTGTGAGAGAGAGAGAGAGAGAATTATCTGAAGAAAAAAATGTGTTCAAGCCTAAGCCTTAGACTCGTTACGCTTGTAGGCCCTATTTTGGAGGTGTATCCGCTAGAAAACATTCTGAATACTTTATTTGAGGAGTAACCTGGTAGAAAACGTCATGGGTTACTAGGACTGATTTACTACTTTCAATGCACAGTGAAGGTAGTGGTTCTGATTCCACCTTCGTAAAGTGGGAGTTTTTGTGGTGTCTAGTGGATGGTTAATGTTAACCTAGGCTTTCAATAAGATGATTTCTCTGCTCCACTAATGTAATTTGAATTCCTCCATATGTATATGTGATACTTGGAAATACTTTAAGAAATGTATTTAGATTTTTCCCTACTTATTATATATATATATATATATATATATATATATATGTGTGTGTGTGTGTGTGTGTGTGTGTGTGTGTGTGTATATATATATATATACACGCGCGCGCACACACACAAGATTACTAAAATCTTTCATCACAATCATGATTCTTGTTTTGAGCATATGGGCGAGTGTGTGAATGCTTAAATGTTATAATAAGTGTGAAACTTTTTTCTTAAATGTAAATCTTATATTTTGAATATAAAATCTTTTTTCACATAAAGTTAAGAAGTGTAATTATTTTACAGGGCAGAATGGTTCTTACTTGGTATTTTTATTTTAATATTGTGCTCGTCTTTATTTATTTTGAACTTACTCCCTTTTCAGGTCTGGAGTAGTGCTTGCCTTAAGAGAGCGAAGTAATGATTTTGGGTCTTGTAGAACCCGTAGTGATTCCTCATGCAGAAACTTGACCTTTGAGACATTGATGTTGCTTTTATGCATTCTGTTTAGAACTTAACTTTAGAATCCCCTTATTTTGACATGTATGGATTTGGGGTCTTGTAGAACCCGTATTTTGAAATTTATGTTTTGGTGGAAGCTATGCCTTACATCTATTGGTGTGTGGATATGTTTGGCGGCAACACTCTCTTCTTTTAAGGGGTTTTAATATTATGATTGGATGGACCTTATTTTAAGGATATTTATGTCATTTAAATTAGATGTTTTTCCCTTATATTTTGCTGTTAGAATTTGGAGGTGTTATATACACCTAACATGTGTTTAGATTATTTACTTGTTGAAAGTACGTTTATACTAATATGTTATTAATCATTTGGAAAGTGCAATATATGAATAAGTTTTTATTATTTTAATTTTTCTGCAGCACATGGCGAAGGGGCTATCATATCATGAGACGTTTTCTAATTCAACAAGGAAGCAAAGATTGTTTTAAGAATTTTGAAACAAAATGTTTGGATAGTGAAAGTTCACTGAATGTTGAATGGATGTCATTTTTTAATGTTTTTATTTTTTTGGTTGCAATTATTGTATTATAGAATTTTACTCCGTAATTCTTATGAATTGCTTTGAAAATCAAATTGTCGCCGAAGAACTCTGAATGGCATAGGAAATTTTTGGTAAAATTTTGAGTAGTCTAAATGAGAATGAATGTGATGCCTAATTTCAATAAGATAAGAATGAAGAGTTGCTAATTGATTAAGTCCTACTCTACGTATGATAAACTATTGATACCGACCCCATTAGAATAATGATTCTTTATTCATGAAAAAATCCTGATATTAAATGAATTCTATTAGTGATCACTAATTAATGAAGTTTTATTGAGGTTGGTGAAACACTAGTTTTATTTATTATTATTTTTAATTTATAAGGGTATTGTTATAAATAGATTTATGGTGGACATTAATAATAGTTTTGTAACGTTTGTAACGGATGTAACAGATGTAATTATCATTCATTATTATATGTCTTTATGGTATCTTGTATATATATCATTGTACTATGATGAATGAGATATGAAGAGATATCCTCCTTTCTCCCTGGTTTATTCTGTATTTTATTTTAACACCGTTATCAGTACTTTGCTCTATCTAATGGAGTTTTGCAATCAATCCCTACGCCCTAGCTATCCTCCCTAGCCTATACTGTAGATTATTTTATTGATCCTTAGATTCCGCCGATAGAATCCGTTCGATGTCGGCGATGCCGCTGTGAGTAACGAAAAGACGGAAGAAGTTGATGCCGGGAGGAGAAGGAGATGAGATTGAATGCATTTAGTTGTACTCTTTGCGGAGCCATGGATCGGTTTTGATTTCCTCCACCGTGATGCTAGCCTCCGGATTGCTATCGGTTTTCAGATCGTACGCACGGGATTCTACATCGTCGGTAGCCGACATCCACTCCAACGTTAAATATGCAGTACAATCATTCCCGCCTTCCGATCGATGACCATCAGCTAAGGCGCCGGCGATCAGAGTGTCCAAGTATTGCAATCCACTCCGGACCATCTCCAGCGTGTTCGTTCGACGCTCAAAGGATGATTGTCCGCCTTCCCAGTCGGCTCCACATTCGCAGCCGGATTATCGCGATCCGGCGACCTGGTCTGCTTCACCAATCACCACTCCAGCCCGCTCCGGCTTGAGGCGGCGTTTGGGAGTTTCTCACCGAACCGCCTCGGAACCAGCGAACGGACTTCGCAGTCCGGTGACCAGGTTGGTCGCGTCGAAGCGGGTGGACCTGGCTGCGACGGGAACGACAGCAGGCTTGCGGCGGTGTTCCTCCGATCTCCAGATCATCGGCATCTCCGCATTGAAATCAGCCGGCGATCCAGGCTAGACGCCGATGGTCGATCGCGTAGCCGAGAGGCAAGAGACGCAGTCAGCGTATTCCTCGAACTCTTCGCCTGAGAATCTGCCGGCGACCTAGACGATATCAGATCGGCTTTGCGGCCGGCGATCTGCCTTCGAATGCGGCGGTTGCGAATGGAGCTAGGGTGGCGTTTTACAGTCGCCTTTTACTCGGCTTTGCACTGAGAATATTGATCTTTTGGGATGTGGCCGGGGATCCATCCTTACTCCGGCAAGGTACGGTTAGCTTACAATTTTCATAATTGGATGTGGGTTTTTTTTAATATGCCTGCTGGAATTTTGGCATCTCATTAATTGCCTCACTGATAGAAAGAGATGCTAATGTTTATGCTAATATGAGTTGGTACTTTGTGATTAAACATAATATTTCCCAGGAGAACTGCAGTGAATTTCTTGGTTTAATGTCTGCTCACCTGGCTTCCATAGAAAAGTCAAAAGATAGGATCAGACAAAAGAATTCTAATTTCTCCACTATGTTTTCTCACACGTTTAAATTCAAATTTTAATTAGCTTTAATTTGCTGATTTCATGCATAAACTTTCTAGGCTTTATGATTTGGTGGTCAAGTGCATGCTTTTGTGTTGCGTGTGGGGTTCTTGGTTCTCTGCCACTCCCTGAAAGGCTAAAGCATTTGCATTCTCAACAAAAATTTTATACATGCGTATATATGGTAAATGTTTATTATGTGTAAATGGTTGTTTTACCCTTAAATTTTTTTTCAATTACATGATTAGGACTTGAAGAGCGATCATCATTACGTGATAGTTTGTCTCTGTATAACCATTATTTAAGTGAGAAATATGTCATATGCCTTTGCACCATGCTGATGCTTAAATTTTGAAAGCATAAGTGAAACATATGATATTGTGATGATGCGCTTTCTTGATGTCAACGTGCCGAAAGATTTATATATATATATAAATATTGTACATAATATATCTGACACCATA